ATGTTCCGCGACTCGGCCAAAGACGCGGGTAAAGCGGTGAACTCTGGTCTTCGATATGTGGAGTACGAGAAGAGGCAGGGTACTGGAGACTGGCGCGGACTATCTGAGCTGTTAAACGATGGTGTCCGGATGTTTAAAGAGCCCCCGATCCCTGAGGTTCTCCCGCAGCCAGACACAGGGATGCCCATGGCGGCTGCTGGACGCCCTGGACCTGCAAAGGGTACAACCCGACGCCGCAAACCTTCTCCGGGGTCAGAGAATGGAGAGAGTGAAGGCCGGCCTGATCACCCCGCCAGAGACCCGTGGCCCCGAGGCACTTTCCCAGGCATGGAGCCTCTTCCCGGCATGGCCGCCCCACAAGAGGGTCCGCCTCGTCTTCACAGCCAGCCCTCGCCCATCTCGGCGCTGATGGGGGTCGCGGACAGCCTGAGCTCCAGTCAGATGGCCAGAGACAGCCCGAGCATGTCTACAGCCCACTCCTCCTCCGCCGGGCGTCCCACCAGCAGCAGCCCCTCCACCGCCTCCACCTCAGTCTCCCAGGCAGCCATGGGGCAGAGTCTGAGCGCCGTGGGGCAGAGCAGTAACGCCGGCGCCGGGGAATCCACGAGTGGCGGTCAGGGCACGCTGCTCTGCTGCACCCTCTGCAGAGAGCGCCTGGAGGACACGCACTTTGTCCAGTGTCCGTCCGTCCCGCACCACAAGTTCTGCTTCCCCTGCACCCGAGGGTTCATCCGCAGCCAGGGCCAGGGCGGGGAGGTGTACTGCCCCAGTGGAGAGCGCTGTCCCCTCGCTGGATCCACCGTGCCTTGGGCCTTCATGCAGGGAGAGATCTCCACCATCCTGGCCGGAGATGGAGACGTGACAGTTAAGAAGGAGAGCGACCCTTGACGTTTCCATCCTCGTGGTGAATGGTAAGAGAGCATCTGATGGTTAGGAGGGTTTCACAATTTCAAATTAAGATTTTACATGAAATGTTCAAGATAAAAACTAAAACCGTTTGTTATAACTAAAGAAAGATCCAATTAGAACTCCCAATCAGAAGATCACTGAAAAGTAGAGATGCAAATTATTAACAGTGTCAACGGTGTTCAAAATTTAAATTGGCTGAGAAACGGTTAAAGGGGATATATTATGAAAAATCCACTTCTACAGTGTTTTTGAACATATATTTGGGTAACCTGAGTCTACCGACCCACAAAATGTGAAATAAATCCATCCAGTCCTTTGTTTATGGTCTGCATAAGTCTTACAACACAGAGAAAAATGCTCTGTTTAAAATGTGCTCTCCTTGTGATGTCACAGTGGGATTCTGGTAAAAAAAAATATCCCCTCCCCTCCCCTGGTATCTCCACCCATGGACTCCACCCCAGCCTAGAGCAAAACTTTTGTGTATGTCCGCCATTTTTATTCTCAGTACAGAGGAGTGATGTCTACTGGGAAAACTCTTACATTTAAAGAGACACACACACCAAAACGGAGCGTTCTGAGAGAGCTGGTTTATACAGGGTCACAAACCTCCTCTGGTGCTTGATTCATGTTATATTTTGACCAAAGCACAGCACAGATGTTTCATTTAGATCACAGGGGACTGTTTGAAAAGGTGGAGAAGGGGGATAATATGTCCTCTTAAAGTTAAGCAGTTTCTTTCAAAAATAGTCAACAGCAGAAAAAGCAAAGTCAAGATCATCAATCAAGTTTTGGTTTAAATTATTGTTATGCAGAATGATCATTAAAAAAGTAGAAAATCTGATAAAAAATTATCAAAATACAAATTTGTGCACCATGCAGCCCGCCAATAAATTAAACATAAAACAAAAACGCAACACGGTGAACGAAGGGCAACAATGGAGGACGTCCAGCAGAGTTCTGCACCTCCGATGTCGTCCATGTGGCGGTGCTGCGTGCTGACATTAGTCAACAGGGTTAAATAACTCCTGAAATCTTCAGGACGACGCGTTTTGTGTTTGTCTTTTTTTACTGTTGTAAAACGAAATGTGACACTTCTTTCAACCAATAAAAGGACGGCAGTGTGTCTGGCTCCACCTTTAGGGTCTCATAGGTACAACAGCCCAACAGAAGGCTAGCAAAAACGTAGAACAGTACGGATCTGTTAATTTGGTACCATATCTAACCTCTGAAAGTGGAAACGCCAATAAATGGGTACCATACTGAACTGAACTGCTCGATGGACACGGGGCTTTATATGGAGGTAATCAAATAAAGAATAATAGAATAAAAGAGATGATATATACATAGTTAAATCAATGAGACTCTAGCGCAAAGCATGTACCTGTAAACATCAGCATTGTGGATTTCAAAAAAATAAATCAGTATATGGGCTACGATATTTGTATCTCGTTTTTACCTTCAACATGGCTCTCAATCAATACTTCAATCACAAAAGATAACGACGAGGCTAGCTGGGAATCATGGGAGTTATCTACTGCTACCCCCCCCCCCATAGATTCCTGTAATCGATAATTCTCCTAAGTGACAAATTGCTGATAATAAAATTCAGAATCTCTATAAATCAGTTTAGATTTTTAAAATGGAAATATTTTTTGTTTCATGTCGGATTAATTAATCTGCAGATTTACAAATAATTAATTCTTAAACCAGGAAATAACTAGATGTGATGTAGAAATGTGATCTCTCCCCAATTAAAATCAATTATTTGTAAAGCACCAATTCATAACACATGTGATCTCAAGACACTTTGTAATTTAACAAAGAGTGAAGTCTTTACCTGCTCTTCTATGAAGACCCAACATGAGTAAAGTTAAAGTGGGAAGAAAAAACGTCCTTTAAGAGGCAGAACCAGACTCATGATGAACAGAACGGTGCCGGACTTGATAAATGGGATAGATGGAAAAAAAATCCAAATCGTTTCATCACTCATTAAATGTTTAGATGACAACGTTTACCAGCATGTGTGAGTGAAGTGATGGGATTATTAACAGGGATGTAAAAAGACACGAGACCACTTTCATTAAACACTTCCACCTCATATATCAATCTCTGATAATGTAAAGGTCAGACTCACCTGCACTGCTCCTGATGAAATATTAAATTACATGAAAATACCACTAACTTAAGGTTCAGATAAAAACATCTACCGAGTAAAATCAGATGAGGAGGTTATCATATTCAAAAAGATATTTCTATAAAGAAACGGGAAATGTTAAGAGAGAGAGAGTGGGGGAGGACATGCAGCAAAGGCCTGAGGTCGGATTCAAACCCACGGCTGCTGCCGACTTTAGCCTCTGTACATGGGACGCACGACATAACCACTTGGCTGTACATATTCTAATTATAGAATAACTAACTGACTAAAGCATGTGAGCTAAATAAGACCCCAGAACAGTTTTATCATTTAAATATTTAAATATATATTTAAGTTTCTTTCAACCAGAGAAGTAACTTCTCTGTTTCTCTGCATGGCTTCCTGAACACTATCACTTAATTTCTTGATTTATTTTTAAAGGAGTTTCTTTTGATTATTTGCCAGTTTTTAAGCAAACATTTGTATTATTTTCTCTAACTCAGGCTGTTGAGAGGGGGTTTGGAGATTAACTGTACATAAAGATGTTGAATGCAACATTGTGGTTTGAAAAAAACACACGTGTCTAAGATCTGAAAGATACCTTATTGACACATTTAAAGCTCCTGTGATGAAGTTTTTTACGGGTTATGGAACTGACCGAAGTTAATATCGATGCCTCTGTTGGACCAATAAAATCAGAAAAAAGGAATTGAAACTGAAATAGATTATTTCCACATGGTTATTTTTAAAGCTTCGGGGAAGGTGTCAGAAAGAAGCAGGAGGACAGTTTCTGCTCAAAACACGACAAAATCTTCAATAAGATGAGTTACCGTTCTGTCCACAGGGGGGCGCCAAATCAACCCAAACCACAAGTTCATTATAGGAGCTTTAAAGTCCTCCCTTACAGATTGAACATGGGGAATGTCCGGTCCCCTTAGTACTTCTCTTTTATTAAAAATACAGCATCTTCTCTTAGATATAACATCACCTTTGGAAGAGAACGCTTCCTCATATGACCTTTTTATTTTGTATTCCAAATGTTCCCAAATCCTCACACATCTTTTTTCTCTTTTTCTCCCACAGTGGATCAAACACTTTGAAAGCACTTCCCTATTATCTCAGCAGTGGTCCACTTTGTCTGCAGCTCATGAAGTGTGCCTCTGAGAGCAGAAAAAAACAAACTCTGAACCAGGAAGAGGAGGAGGACAGCTACACAAACACAGACAACTAAAGACACAACCAGACTCACTTTGAGCAAAGCTACACGTCGTCCGTCAGGACCGCTACGTCGCCACCGAATGTTGGTCCTGACCAAGACTTCAAAGCCCGGGATCCAAGCACACGCTTTGTTTTTAACAATGACAATCTACTTTGTCTTTCATTTGTTTTTGTTTTTTTGTTTTCTTGGTTGCATACAGATGGATGACGGCGATATGTTGATAGATGCAACTCTTTAAGAAAACAAATGAATGTTCAAAAAGTGGCAGAAACCATCTGGTCCTTAACGCCAAGGATGAAAAATGTAACCCCACATTATGTCTCTTAGGTAATCTCCTTCTATTGTATGTCAAAAATGTGAATTTACTTTCAATATGACTCTGTAATTTCTATTTTTGATACAATACAAAATTTCTATGTATTTGTTTATAGTGATGAGAAGACCAAAGATGGCTTCATGCTCAACGTAATTTTATTGTATCGTAGCTGTGTATGCTGTACTCACTGATAACTTTGGCATCAGTCACTAATCTGTTCATCTATCACAGACGTACGCTTGTTTCTGTCCATTTTCCTTTTTGAATTCTATGTATGGTAAAGATAATTAGCACCACGATCGTCAATGGTTAACCCACATACTCATGTGATCTGAACAGGTCAAATCTACAATAAATGATGTAATAGTTCTCACAGCTGCTTTATTCTCTGAAGCTCAAAATATGCTGCTCATCACTCAAACGTCTTTAAAATAAATCTTTATTAGATACCCACCACACACAATCAAAACACTTAAAGCTGTTTAATGCACATCATTTACTGAAACACAACACGTTGGGCTAATAGTGCAAAACAAGTCAATCATTCTGGATATAAAATAAACTCCACTCAGTCACATACAAGATGTTTTGTAAACAGCACAACCCAACTCACAGCTGTTCATACATAGGAGAGAGGAAAACCTCCAGATCAATGTTTTTCATTTGACCTTCCATTTAAAGGCGGGGCTTGAGATTTGATTGATGATTTTCAGATTAAACGTGGAAGCCCAATGCTAGTAGAAACATTTACATGCACATTAATCTTCCACTGCACTGCAAAAGAAAGTAAAATCTTAACAGTTTACATTTGAAGTGAGTATCTCATTACCCTTAGGATAAACCAGATTCATCTGACAAGTCCAGATAAAGACCTCATGTCAGGATATTACTAAATAAAATCAGGCCTGTACTGCTTGTACAAAATCTGACATTTCCTGCTCCTTTCAAATGAGATATTCAAATCGTTTATCTAGACTAGATGTTAGACAAACACTCGCTTAGATTTGAGTGTCTTACAGAGTTTCATTCTTTAAACGACAATATTGTGTATATATGTTTTTTAAATGTGTTTTATGCTTTATTTAGAGATGGGACAGGATAGTGTTAGAAATTGTAGAGAGAGGGGACAAACATGCAGGAGAGGAGCCACAGGTCAGATTTGAACCCGGGTCACCTGCTTGTAGGATTACAGCCTCCGTACATGGGGCAAGCGCACTTACCACTAGACTACCGGTGCCTTAATATTTAATGTATTTAATATGACTTTTTATAAGATATTTTTTTTTACAGGGCAGTACATTTTACTAAAATACTCCAGAAGTCTTATCTGTAGTACCTGTCCAGGTGTGAATGTGGTAGACTACAACCAAGAACTAAATAAAAATCTGTTCCATTTCAGACTCAAACATGGTGAGAAATAAACCAAATAAGGTCTTAATATGAAATGTTCCGTTATCTGATGAAGGTATGAGGCACATGTTGGTATCGCTTCTTTGACGTGTTTGAAGCTCATTCAGAATACAGTGTACACACAGGGTTTCTAATGTTTACAGTCATCTCTGATTGTGAACAAACAAACACAGCACGACTTCACTGCTGCATGAAGACACAAAGATGAGAATCACTTCTTTCTTAGTAAACAGCGTAGGAGTCGTAGAAACATTTCATATAGACGTAGAGATGTCAAGACTTTAGAGTCCCACATCAGAGGGGGGGGCCAGAGGTAGTCCAGTTGAATTGAACTTAAAGATATTGTTACTTTAATCTATTTAACCTAAAAACAGCAGCTGCAGGACTCTGATGAGCTGCTGTGTCGTCTTTGAAGTGTTTTTGATTTCTATGATTTGAAACTCTTTTCCTATCTAATGGTTATTAAATAGTGGCTCTTTTTCCTGAATATGAAACACATGCACTGCACCAAACAATAGAAACTTGTAATATATGAAAAGCCACAAGTCGACCCACAGCTTTGTAGCTAACATGAGAAAACACAAGCTAATATATGTAAACATATTTATACCCAAGTTAGTGGTGTAAATCCTTTTGATTCTGTACATTTGAAATCTTTCACACCACCTTTGTGATTATAAAACACACCGGAGTGGTCAGTGGTTTGTTGGATTGATCATCTATCAGTCGTCACTGTGGTTCAAATGGGGCTGGCGGAGTCTCCCAGGGCCTCGCGGGCCCCCTTCAGGGTCTCTCTCTTCACACATTTCCAGTATCCAGAGAATCCGCTCTGCGGCTGCACCTGAGGACGACAAAGTGTTCATCAACATGAATTCATTTAAAATGGATTATTTATTCCAAGACTCTAGAACGACCTGCCTGAGGAGATCAGACAAATCAGTCATCTCTTTTAAGTCCCTTCTTCTTCTTAAGACACACTTTTTTCGGCGAGCCTTCCCTGATTTTAAATTGTTACTATTTTCACTTTTTAGAATTCCTTTAAAAGAACTGGTTGTATTTTACAGTTCTTTTAAAATCTTATTTTATATCTTAAAGTGATTTTCCTTAATCTTGTTTATTATTCTATGACCTGCCTGTTTTTATATTTGCTGTCCTTGTAAAGCACTTTGTAACTTGTTTTTGAAAAGTGCTCTATAAATAAAGATTATTATTATATTATCATTATTATTCTGCAGACACAAACAGCTGCTTTATCATGATGTAAGTGTAAAGATGGGCAGACCCACCTTCAGGCCTCGCAGCACTCGGTCTTTCATCACCCCGATGAACTCCTTATGGCTCAGGCGGTTGTCTCCGTCCATATCGAAGAGTTTGAACACAGTATCCAGGACGTTTTCAGACAGATTGTGGCCTGTGGCGATCCTCACCGCTCGCTTAAACTGAGCTGCAGAAAGAAACATGGAGTTACTATATACACTGTGTGAAGAGTGGAGGGGTCATCGAGTGTACTTCTTATGAAAAGAGAGGCATTACTCATTCCAACGGGACGGTTGGCTTCAGACACCATTTTCATGGAAAAGGCGAAATCCTCCAGATTGTTGGTGAAAAGACAGAAGGCTTTGAACTCATCAAATGTGATACTCTGCAACACAAACACTCAGCTGACTTTTACTCTGCATTCAAAGAAACCTTTTTTTTGTTTTAGATGTTGCAATGAGAGGTGTTTAAACCTGGCCAGCAGGGATCTTCTTCCTCATGTTCTCCCAGTACATCTCGTTGTCTTCTTCGTTGGTGTAGTGCAGCAGCCACTCTGCAAAGTCCTCTCTCCTCATGGTGTCCATGCCTTTGGAGAACTGCAGGAACTCCATCTCCTGGACTTCAGCCTGCAGGTCCTCCATGAACCTGAAATGACGAAAGAAAAATGATCACAACGAAACCAACTATACCTTAACAATAAAACATACATTCATTATTGTTTTAAAGGTCGGAAAGAAAAGAAAAGAAAAGAAAAGAAAAGAAAAGAAAAGTTAAGAAGTGACTTTTTGAAGTTAACAGGATGGTGTCTGCAAATGTGCTTTATTGAAGTGCCTTAAAGGCAGAGTTGGTTATTTCCTCCAGATCCACTTTTTAAGATTTTGGTTGAAATTGTCTTTAGGTCCTGAAATAAATTATTAACTCACGTTCTCTGAAAAAGGAACAAAGAAAATCCGTCATCTGTAGCAGTTGTTAGTCTGTAAAAACCAATGTCTGCCACGAGGTACTAATCTGATGAACCAATCAGACGCCTCCCTGTCTCCCTGCTTTTTCTCTACCACATGCATGCACTAGCCCGCACTCAAAGCGTGAGCTGAGGTCCGCTTCTGGAGCAACGGCGCTCGTGCATGTAAGTGAGGGGGCGTGGCTTTTGAGGGAGCACAGATCGGAGGGGCTGGGTGCAGACGGGGCACTGAGGGAATGCTAATTTCAAAATCATGCTAGTTTTCCAAAAATTACCTACCCTGCCTTTAAGTATGCCTTATTGTAATGACCAGCAGGGGGCGACTCCTGTGGTTGCAAAAAAAAAAAAAGGTCTGTCTGCATCGACTTCTCCCAGAAAAGGAGCGCACTTTTCTTTTGATTTCTTACCACGGCTGTTATTAAGTTTCAATGTGTGACTAACTCCACTTTTAAAATACAGAGAATTTACCAACAGCTCAAACCTGAATATTCAAACCGAGTTAAAACATTAAAAAGATCATTAGAGGAGAACATCTGCATCAAATAACATAATCCATCATTCAGAGATATAATCAATGAACGGCAGCATTTTATCTGTCCATCCAGAGGTGGACACATGTAGAGACTGAAAATAAATAAAAAGACCATCAGCTGCACACAGTGAGGCACCAATGCACAGACGGTGGAGGATAACCCAGGTTAGGATTAAATAAATATATTTGACTTTGCACCTTTGTAATAAAACCACAGAGGGAACTACTTAACCATTAATAGGCATGCAGAGGCCTCCTCATTTTTTGCATTCATGGCACCCCAGGGGGCACTTCACTTTTCAATTTTTAGGGCACCCATTAGTGCACTACATCACCCTTTCAACACAGGAAGGGCGCCCTGGAGGACACTTTATCATGTTTAATCTACCAAAGAGGAATCCAAGAGGACACTGTAGCTGCATTTGTTCAGACAGGCAAACCAGTGAGAGAGGCGATTGATTGATTCAAACTGATTTCATTTTTAACTTCAGAGAGGCTTGAAACATGATTTCATCTTACATTACATTTGCTCCCATAATATATGAAAAAAATCTACCCATTTGAAAGTGTTTGTTATTTTGTTTAATACAAGAACAAGGTAATTAAATGTAAAATGAGGTAAAAAAAAAAGAAGAATCATCTAATCATGAATGAATCGTCTTGAGGATGAACAGGAAAAAAAGTGACCTTTCCCTTTTTTTTTTTAAGGTCAAAATAAAGCAGCTTGTTAGAGTGTAAGCACAGACCTGCTGTAGAGTAAAACCTTCAAGAATTTAGAAGAGAAAATGTCCTAATTACTGACATGAAAAAAGTTTATTTTTTAATTTTTTTTGCCATTTTTGCCTTTATTTAGAGATAGGACAGAGTCGGAGATCAGGGAGGGGGAGAGAGAGAGAGAGATAGGGAGAGTGGGGTATGAAATGCGGGAAAAGAGAAATAGGTCAGACTCGAACCTGGGCCGTCCTCTGTACATGGGGCGTGCGTACTAACCACCAGGCTACCGGCGGCCCACAAAGTGTAGTTTTAAAGCTGAACTTTTTATCTACATTTTCTAACCCAAACGTGCACCCATTTTGCAACGACATAGAGGTAATACGAAGACTGCTTTCTCAAACAAATGAAAGAAGATTTCTCATCATTTCTGCTGAGTTGTGATACTCCGCTACGTGTGCTGCAGACAGTGCTGAGAGTATTGAACACTTTGATCAAGAGCGCACTCTGCTGGACAATAAAACTAAATGATAAGACCTTTTCATAAGGTACCACTAGCATTAAGTTTGATTGACTCTTTCTACTGTACGCACACACTGACACTGATATAAATTGTAACATATGTCGGTGGATAATATTGGTTTCCTCTGATATACCTGTGGGACTGCATGCAGAGTTTCCTTACCTGTGGAACTCCTGATACTGCAACTTATTTTCTCCCCTCTTCCCAAAGAAGTACACCTGCAGGGTGGTGTTCACGTTGTCCCCCTCTTCAGCCGGTATCTGTCCACATCAAGAGATTATACACATCATGTGTTGAGTAATACAGCACATCAACTTTACACTTTAATGACAACCAATCCTCACCTCTGTGCCTTCCTTAGGAACTCTTCTTTTGCTTTTTCCGATAATTTTCTTCAACTTCAGAAACAAGAATGAAATACGATGTTAACATTCATTCAGAGAAATTAAAACGTCCTTCTCTATTGGAGTTATTTTTAGTCAAAATCTGAACATATGTAACATCTTCTCTCTACACTACAACAAACAATGAACAAAAAGGAGCATTTGTCAGATCAGACCATAGATGAAACCTTCATCTATGTCACTCGTAAACAAACACAGGAGCAGATGAGAATCCATGCACTCTTTTATTTGAGGCATGTGCACCAAGTCCTAACATGTAAATACGACACGGGGTGCGTGCCAACATGCAGACTAGCAGCCTGAGGCCTGACGTCAGCACACAGTGGATTTCTCCTGTCATCGCTCAGGCTGGATGAAAGGTTACAGGGCTCTAAATATCTGGACTCCACTGGAGGGCTGACTCAGGCTGCAGAGATGCAAACACATGACAGACTACAGCATCTAACAGTGCAGCTCCACTTTACCTTCAAATCCTTCATACTCACATCTGTGGCAGCGTCTGTGCTTCAGCAGCGTTAAAGGTGGGATTATTTTTTATTTTAAATGCACACTTTGAAAATATCCGTGTTGTATTCAACATTACTTCAACATCGTAGAAATGTTCCAATAAAAAAAACTCTGGATAAGTCAGAGGTCTTACCGTGAGGAATTCTTTTTGGTCCACATGCTCATTGCCGTCAACATCGAGCATTTTGAAAGCTATATGAAATCCAGTACGCGGCTCTGCAACAGCAATGCACTGTCAGTTATCCCAACACAAGCACAATATCTTCGGCTCTGGAAAAAAAAAAAATCAAGAAACCTCTCCAAATTCTCCCTTAAATTTGATTCTCCCTTCTCTTTTTATTGTTTTGAATTTTCAAACGGGCACAAAGCTGAGCTGCTTGAAGGGCATCATAACGTCACCCAGCAGTGATGTGAAGGACTGGTGGAGAGTAAGCAAAGACGCATATCACTGTATTTAAACGTCAGGGTTATTCCACCAAATATACCCAAAATGTAAAGGTTTTTCTGTTGATATGTACTTGTTATTAGAGGTCAGAGAAATACTGCACCTCTTTGTTATCTTAGTTCCCATTTTTCTGCAAATCAAAGACCAAATTGAGAATATATATTAAGAAGTTGGGAGACATTTTGTATACAATAAGATGGAAATGTTCACAAACTACAACCAGAAGAAGCAGAAAAAAAATTGCAGTGTTTTTTTTTTTTTTATTAGAGACCTTTCCTGTTTTAATGTGAGAGCCCGAATGATATAAATGGGTTGCTGAACATTTAGTTTTTTTCCTACTAAAATGTATATTATTAACATTAAATTCCAATATCAGTCAGGCTCTCATCCAAACGTGTGGTTTATAAGTTAAAAGTATCATTTGTCAACAAGTGCTGCAGAGAAACTGTTAAGTGTCACTTCAGTGTGCAGGTGAACAAAGCGTAGACAGTAAAAGATTCTTATTGGAACAAATGCAACATGAATTGACATTACAACAGGTAAAGCCATTCAGCACAGTTTTACTGAGAGATGCAGAGTTTAGAATCTACTCACTGGTCAGGATAGTGAGCAGAAAGAGATACTCTGTGTAGGATATCAGACCTGTAAGACATGGACGCCACGTTTTTTAATCAAACAGATAAGAAATAAAAACTAATAAACAGAAAAGGAGACAAGCTCTTTCCCAGATGTGGTCACTATAACGTCCCATTCTGAGCAGGTCTGATGCAGGACATGAGACCTGGGGCCCGTTTCAGAAAGCAGGTTTAGTTCAAACCCTGAGTCTGTTAACCCTGAATTTAGGGAAACTCTGGGTTGTCCGTTTCAGAAGGGGAGGTCACTCAAACCCGAGAAAGAGGGGTAACTCAAGACTGTTCCAGAGAGGGAGGTAACTTAAGCTCTGAGGCAACAACTACACAGGGAGATGTTCATTTAATTTAATTAGGTCTAATTAATGACTCAACAGAATAAAGGTGAGAGGACATTTAGCCTATGTGTGTGAAACCAGCATTATGTTGAAGATGAAGTTAATGCACATTCAAATAGACACTGAATTAAGTTTACTTTGTTTAATATGTTAAATATGATTAAAATAAGGTTGGCTTCCACCATGGAAGCATGGTTTGTTCTTATATTTCATTTTGAGCTGTTTTAAAGTTGCTTTTCTTCTGCTGTATCGGTTGTATCTTAATGAAAATAGATTTTAGGTTTAAAACCATGCCACCGGTTTTGACCTGCAATAGGCTATTATAATTCTGATCAAATATTCATTGAATAGACTTCCTGACGCGCTGACGCGAGCAGCATACTTTTATTCCCTTCTTAAAACATGTTCATATGTTCATAGGCTAAGTCCGCATGAAGATGTTTCTATATTTCTAGAGAGTTAAAGTACGAGGACCTACTCTTTGTCTCCTGTTGTCATGGTGAATCGTAGTATCAGGGCTCCATTGCTTTTTATCGTTGTGGTGCACACGCTGAACACCGAGTGAACCTACTCAGAGTTGATTTAACAAACTTAAATCTCAGAGTTTCCCACCTGAGGGTAAATCAACTCAGAGCTCAAGAGTTTGTTGAACCTTCTTTCTGAGACGGGCCCCTGAAGGTTGTTTACTTTATTCAGTTGATCACACACTGAAGACCTACCGTTGTCTCCTAAGGTCCTGAACAGTTCATTACCAGCCTGAGCTTTGGAGGCAGCTTTCAACATGTTGTTTACTTCCTGAGAAGAAAACAACATGAAACTGAAGACAATGCTCGACATGTGCAGCTTTACTATCCGCTTCAAATTGATTCATGTTGTAAACAAACCTCTGTTGTTAATGTCTTCTCCTGCAGCTTTCCTACAGGAAAAGAAAAAGGAAACATTTGTTTATAATAAACAAAATATTCCTACAAACACATGAGCACAATCTGACTGTATTATTTTTTTCATGCAGCATGCAGACCGAAGATTTGGTTTAAATGTTCTTTGACTCTTATTAGATTTGCTCGTTGCTCACACTACCCGCACTCACTCCACTCCTGATAGTGCTGCTTTACATGTTGATTTTAATAAGGCCTTCCACCCGTGTCCAGAAGGGTTGAGATCAACATAGTGACCCTGAAGGTTGAACCATATGACTCACGTCCTTTTCATACTCAATGAGCGCTTAAAGTAGAGTTCATGGTTCGTATGGGAACATCTATCTGCTTTGTGTTTTTCCAATAACTTATCCAGCTTTGTTCGTTAACTTATCACACACCTATAAGAGGGAAAATATACCGTGCAGTAGATAAAGACTGTAAAATCGGAGCATCATTAGAGATAGGACAGATCCATATCAGTATCGGGTGAGATATTGACGTAATTTACATATCGGATATCGGACTGACGGCGCAGATCCACATCACTGTTCAAGAAAGATCTTGGGCACTTTAAACATTCTCAAATTGCAGTCTTGCTTTGAAGACATACAGTATATAGTTATTATATATTGTTAGGGCTGGCAAAGGTATGGACCAGCTCCTAGTTTACTACTTTACCTACTTTAATGATCACCTCAATTACTTAAATAGCACCTTTAATTTAATGTTTGCACTGCCTGTTATTTAATGTCTGTTTTTTGATAACTCTGCACTATCTGCTTTTTAAACATTGCTGTACATATATAAACAACACAACTTCAGAAGGTCAACACTTTTTTTTTATTTTTATATTCAGGTCTAATTACAGATTTTTTCCCTCAACTGTTTATAGGTTCTTGTTTAAATGTCACATTTTTTATCCCTGTACGGGTTATGGACATTTCTTGTATAAGTCTATTTTTAACTGCACAGTTTGAGTTTGATTCATCTAGAGGTATTCTTTAAATCTTTCTTCAGGTTATTATATATGTATGTGAGGGGGAGGTGTCAGTTTTGTGGTTTAATTTGTAACAAATGTTTCATGTCATGTCTTTGTAACCTGCTACTGGATGATTTGAATTTCCCTCGGGATCAATAAAGTATCTATCTATCTATCTATCTATCTATCTATCTATCTTGCTGCTCTAGGCTTAGACAGCGGGGGAAGTGGCACCTTTTAGTAACTTTTTGTATATTATCTTTTGTAACATAACAATGAGTAAGGTCTTTTACCTGCTAAAGATTGATTGATATGAATTATGATTTAAAAACATATATCTGAATCAGTATTAGTGTATGTATTGGACTGGGATCGGGACTGGTGCCTCTCTACTTACTGTCCACGTCTTCCAGCATGATGGAGTAGAGGAAGTCTCTGGGGGTCATGTAGGGCTCCTGCTCGTACATCACTGAGGCGAACTGATTGAAGCGGACCTTTCTGGCAGACATGTGTGGAGCTGCAGCTTCCTGAAACAAGTTACACACATATCACTGCACACTACTGCACCATGTAAACACTCCTTACTGGCTCCAGCATTACTCAGTATGGAGTGTCAGTGAGTGACAGCTGGGGGGCGTATTCTCAGTATTCACGCCCTTTTTGTAAATAAAAGTCGACATAACTAATATTAAGCATATTTAGCAAAACACGCCATTAAATTTAAGTACTCAGACATTTGACAGCCACAGTTTTAACATTTGTAAGCGTTGTGTTTCATCGATAAGAACTTTTATTACTCACTTTGTGTTCCTCGGCATGCACAGCGAAGCGCAGAGTCCTGTTGTTAGCATGATACTGATAAAAACAGATCACTCCAGCTCCCACTAAAGAGCCCAACACACCAGGACCGACAGCCCGACGAAGTGCTACACTCTTCAGAGACTGAGGACTCCTCAAAACTGTCCTCAGGACTTGAGCGACCCTACCCCAGCTGGCCATTTTGATAAGCTAATGAGCTAGCTTGCGGATTCAGTTCCACGGCTTCCGCACCTGCGTACTGTGAGTGCGCAGAGGAACGCCCACTCGACGCACCAGGTAACAGGAAGGACGAAATACAAGCCTGTTACATTTTGATGGATTTACTTTGAACATGTATTTGAAATGTTATGAGGAACTTCAATTAACTTATGGAAAAATAGTTATTCCATCTAAAGAGAAAAATGATTTAGACAGAAATATTCCATTTACACGGCAAATATTAAATCCATAATGCAACTGGTCTGAGAGGAAGCCTAATATCCACCAGTTTAAAAATGAAATGAAAATGTATTTTGAAACGCTGGAAGGAATGTCTAATAATAAAAGCCATCAGGACTATGGGCATATTAAAGCCTTTAAAAACTCTCCTTAATTTTCAGATGGTATGTTTGCCTACCCCATACGGTGACTTTCTGTTGGTTTTGTTAATTATTTTAATTCATTGCTCGCTTTTTCTCTCATTTATATTGTTATATTGTTGATCAATAATTGATTGATAAATAAATAAAGCTTAAAATAATAATTACATTATTTACAGTCTATGGGTATCAGCCATTAAACTAACAAAGAGAGATTAGATCAGTTAACGAGTTAAAAAGACGACAACATCTAAAAAAGAGGATTCAACTGCTGAGAAGTGTGGTAGACTAATTCAGAAAAGAACCCCAAAAAACGGTCCACGTTCAGACCCAGTTCTACGAGGACCGTCATTTGACATTTCTGCACCTTCAATTTAATGGACACAAAACAAATACATTTGCATCTTTTTTTACAGTATAATATATCAAAGCTTTCAAATGACAACAGTGACTCACGCTGTGTTTATTACATCCATAATCTGATGGTCATGACAGGTGCACATGGCCTGTCAGTTTACCGGGGGCCACGTTCAGGACCCATTACACCTACCTATGCTATTTTTTTTATTGCTGTTGCCTGTCACTGTAGCTGCACCCTCTTTAATCTCACATGCCCCCTAAGTCAGTTTGCTCTGCAGCCGGGCCGATCCACATTTAAATAATGGTTTTATATTCATGAATTATTCAAAACCTCATCTTCTTAAAATAATAAACAATGACTGCTCTGTAAGAACAACCACTGATAGAAATGTGATATTTATTCGTAAAACATTATTAGAAGTGTACAATTATAATTATACCAAAAGCATTTGTTCAGAGGACGAAACATGGGCTTTAAGCAATTCACCTTTTGTATTGTATCTCTCGTTCTCAAACATAAACGTTAGCTAGTAAGTGCTGATTGCTAACATTAGCTCTGGAAGCAGTGAAATTAAATGATTCGTCAGATTCTCAATCTTTCAGGTGCGCCTGATTCGACATGTGGAATTGGCGTTGGCAGTCGGTGAGATGAATCTCTCTGATTGGCTGTTTGGAGGTTTCATTTCTCTCCAGCTCTCCTCACAGGTTCTGTAAAGCCCCTTGAGCATGTCTCTGTAGTATCCATGCTTTCACCCATTAGTGTGGTTTCTCCTTATTTGTCTCCTCCGCCTCTCCTTTTCTTTTTCTACTTAAAGACCAAGGGCTGACAACGCCAGCGCCATTTTCAACTTTTTATCAGACATTATTCTCCATTAGTACGCTACCTATAATACGAGTGGTGAGCGACAGCGGTGTCACCATGGTCTTCTCGTATCATAACGAGGTACCGCCGCCTCACGCATGTGATGGTTGGCCATCTGTAGTCTTTGCGGTGTGTGTTCAAGTGCAACTTTTTGGCCAAGACGTGAGGCGACATGAGGCAACGCCACAGGCGGCCTTTGTCTAGTTCTTTTCGGTCTGCTTGGTGTGTCAGGACCTTTAGACTTACAAACAATATGAGTTCTTTTAGGAACCAGTGGTGTCACCCCCTGCTGGTTGTCAGAAAGAATGCAGGTTTAAAGCACGTCCACCTTGGCTTTGCTTTTGGAAACAAGGGGCTTTGTCCACTTGTCATACCCAGCTATTGTTTGAACCATGAAGTTAGAACCATGAAGGCTCATTGTGTCCACTTGATGCTAATCAATGCATCACCTGCTAACTCATGATGACAATGTTGTGTCATATGAAATATGAAATCTGAAATACCAGGAAACTGAGAGAGCTGAAGTGAAACCGTTGTCGGGTTGCTGGTTTAGCTCAATGGTTAGAGCCCACATTCAACCTAGAGAGCCCTGGACCTGAACCCAGCAGCTCCTGGATCAACTCCAATCCTCCGCTCCTCGCTGCATGGCTTCCTTACGCTCTTTTCCTCCAGCACTATCCATTGTCCTGTCTTATAAATGTGTGTGTGTGTGTGTGTGTGTGTGTGTGTGTGTGTGTGTGTGTGTGTGTAACCAGCAGGTGTGTCCACATCAATTCCACGTCAAGTTTGCATCAGCAGGTTTGGAGGTTTATTTAATGTCATAGCAGCAAGTTGTAATGTAAAGTAACAAAGACATACACACTTGTAAGACCATCAATGAAGGAAACAAAGTTTGCACAATATTTTTTTTCTTCAGTCACGGTTTATGCTGCCTATTGATTTTTCGACTGTTACTGTTTATAACATAGTGGAAAAAAAATTCCCCCTTTTTGTGTTTCATAAAAGTGATGCTAAGCAAACAGTTAAAACGCACATGGTGATGCGGGCTAAATATCTGCCATGAGCGATGAATCAGAACAATTACAGCCACATGAAAATACTACAGCTCCTATTTCTGTGATAAAAATGTGTATTGCAATGACAGGCTCACTGTCAGACGTTACCCATGTTTCAATCATCAATTGTTCTCGCTTCTGAACACCCCTCGTTCAGCACTCTGCATGACATGGCACTTATGTAAAAACAAACAGTGACTGACAAAATGAGAATAACATTCACATCATAACATAGCTTATCTATTCTCTTTCCACTCATTTGAAGGCTGCAGTAAAACAGACAGATACAGAAACACTGCCACTACAATCCTCAAGTCAGTGAATTCAAATACTGCTGCATCTGAGATATGCTTTTGGTGTTTTAGTAGAAAGGAAGACTTTTTATTAGCCTTTTCTTTTCTTTTTTTTCTTTTTTTTTTTACATATTTCAGGTGCAATTTGATAGGATGGAAGGGAGAAAAACACTGGAAGTACGTTTGAAGAAAGTCTCAGCTGCTGTCTGTGCTTTTCTGCACAGTGCTTTTTGTTATCCATCTTTGTGTTTCAAACGAGTACACTGCGTCAGAATCTACGGAAGCCCTGAGTGGCAAGTGAGAAAATAATCTGATGATCCATTTTTTGAATGCTTTTCTTCTCCTAAGAAGTGGTGAAAAATGTAGATCCAACCCCCACCAAATTACTTGAATTACTTGAAATGTTGTAACAAGTTTATCTGAGTTTTCTCTGGCTTACTTTTTTCATTTGAGAAAACGTTGGTAGAAAAAAACATCACTTGGTATTGTGTTGATCTCTGACATCTTTAATGCATATTCTATTAAGGAAGTTTTTCATCTCAAACAAATTTGTGCCATCTGAACCTTATGTTTAGCCTACACACAAAATATTGCATCGACTTTATATAATTTATATATATGATTGCATGGCTTTAAAGTTTAGCTTGCATTTGATCTGAACACACTTTAAAAACATGAACGCTTTTAGTCCGAACCAGATCATAAGGTTGTGCTGCACTTCAGCCTCTTGTGGCAGAAATTATTATTACAACACTAAACACTAAACTTTTTTCACCATCAAAAGAGGAGGAAAAAAAAACGCCATGAAAAACCTTTTTTCACACCTGTTTTACATCAGGGGGAAAAAGACAAAGAGAGATTTGTCTGTACAGACGTTTACACCTCCTTCAGCCATGAACACTGGAGGAAAAAAACAACAACGTAAAAACAAACACAGAAAATGGAAGAACAGATTTTTTTCTTGCCTCACAGGGGAACATTTAAATCAAATTATTTGTACTCGTAATTGTAAAAATAACTGAAGTAAAAGTCAAACAGTGAGTGGTATAAAATGCCTGGTTATCTCTGCGATCACAGCACATTTCAATTTAGTCACCAATAAGTAGATTTTCCAGGGCAGCATGTACTGTACTGCCCCGCCTATATTAAGATTTGATCTTGTCTGTAATATATAAATTTAGCACACCTCTCACAGACACACAGACTACTCAATCAGCTAATATAACAAGTTTGTTATTGGGGGCTGCGGGGCAACTCCGCACTCTGATAGGAATAAATATAGGCTTATAAAAATACAACAAGCATACCTACAGTATGTCCTGCTGCTCTTCCCTGGTCAAAGGTGTTTCATACAACTAGATACTGGTGTATGTATATACACTATGATAGTAAATAGTGACTCCTAATTTGGATATTTCTCATTTTAAATGTAATAAACATTAATATATTGGAGTGATGATTGTTTGTTATTTGTGGATTAATACAAATGTTTTAATTTTACCCATTTCAGTTCAGAGTACTGTTTTTATTAGAGCACAGGATTTATTGGTATACATACAAAGATAGGTATATACAACTCATGACTTGAATCATGACACTTTGACATTTAACTTGCCTTTTGATGGAGAGTTGTTCCAATCAGTCTGAACTTAAAAACACACAGGGTACAGAGAGCTTTAACTCCAAGTCAACTGCTTCAGAGTTTTTTTTTTTCTTCTGTCTTTTTTTTTTTTCTTTTTTCTTTACAATTTTGGGCACCACAAACTCGGTGGCGTTTGAACATTTCAAAGCTGGAATCAGTACATTCTGTGGAAAATAAATTGCAGTAATACAGTACAAACAGCAGAGGGGGCCATTTTGGCTTTCATAATTCATGTTACAGATCAAGCCCCCCCCCCCCTTCAAACGAACAAAAATACGCCTTTCTTCTCATGCTTACTGTGGAAAGAAAACACTCTTACTTAGTCACACTAATCTCTGGCTTTTTCTCCCCACTCACATTAAATTATTGCAATTCCAAAACTGCCCAAATTTTTTTTTGAGGAAAATAAAAATAAAGGCAAGTTTAACAGGTGCACTAATCGACTA